GTATGTTAGCAGAAGCAATGGAGTAATTGAAATTCCATAGTTGTGAGTGCAACAACCAAGTCTACTGTGGTTTACAATTGGAGTTTAGGTTTAAGTTTATCAATAATTTCATGAACTAGTACTTTGTTTGCCGTTTAGTTTAAAGAGGTAGTTGAAAGGTGGAACAATGTTTTGATCAACTGCTACAACTGTTCTTGTATTCCTGTTGTTTGAAATAACCATAGTCAGATGTTCTGCTGCTAAGATCAGATGTAATGGTCTCTTTCATTATTTATTATTAATTAATTCATAGCAGAAGTCATTTCTTGCCTCCTGGGCCACACCACTATTAATACTGCCTCTAAATTCAACCACAAATCTAGCAAATCCACCAACCAGGCTACTGCTGTGACACCCTAATATCTCATATCTTTGGCTTCCTTATCAATTTCCAACTCCACAGTCCATAGCCTCATTTGATATGATCCTTACTCTCACTATCACCATTATCAAATTTTCTCTTGAAAAAAAAAAAGTTTGAAATACTATTAAATTTATGTATAATAACATTTATTACAATCTAAAACTAAAATAAATTTAAAATAAAGTGTTCATACAACCGACAATGATTAAAATTAGAATTGGAATTGATCTGAAAAGATTAAAATTGACATCACTCTCGTTATTACTAATTTTCTCGTTATTACTAATTTTTCATTCGAAACAATAAGAGACGATCAACGGATACAAATTAAATTAGATTATGATTAAAATTGAGTTGAGTGATTTGTATCAAAGAGATAGCATATGATGATATGATAACGATATGATTATGACTGTGATTGCAATTAAAAATTGTAAGTGTTTTGGTTGCATTAGAACATGATGATAGACACAAATCAAGCATTCACAGCAAAAGAAGGTCCCTTGACTTTGTTAGAATTTATGGTTGGCCATTCAAAATTTCTATGGACATCATTCCTATTGAAACAAAATTATCAGTCTCTTCTGTTCAATTATAATTTGGGGAAATACTTAATTTGAGGTTTATGGTAGTTCAAATCAATGGTACAAATAGAAATACTGATATAGGAATAGAAAATAAAGCAAAGATACAGACAATTATTGCAATATTGTGATTTGAAGCCACATTATTATTTTCTTAAAGTCTTGTCATTTCTTAGACAAATATTAGAAATGCCAAAAACTTTGTTGGCCTAGGACAGGGAACATCAAAACATAATCATGTGAAAAGCATAAGTTGAATGACAATCAAATTATTGTACCTTAATTCTAACTAAATTACAGTTGGTAGTGTAGACAGTTAAAAGTAAAATTAGTTGTTTTTTTAGTAGTTATTAGCTGTTCTACTGTCTCTTAGCTTATTAGCTTTTAGTCGGTAACTGCATTCGGTATAAATAGTTGTTTAACTTAAAATGACAATAAAGACATTAGTTGTTTAATTAGCTGAATTCGTGCAAAAACAGTGCGTATGATTGTCAAAAAAATTTTGATTAATAGAGATGAAGTTTTGATTTGATCAAAACGCTAAAAACTAACTCAAACATTGGTTGCCGAACATGACTTTAGACTCGAAGATCACATCACGTAAATTTAATTTTAACATGTTTGTTAAAACATGCTATCAAAATTAACATATATTTGTTAAGATTTTTTTTTTTTTTTTTTTTTTTTTCATATATTGTTAAGGATTTTTTTTTTTTTTTTTTTTTTTATGAAGAGAAAATAAAATGAAGATTAATTAATGGGAATTTTTTTTTTTTTTTTTTTTTTTTTGAGAAATAAAATGTAAGATTAATATAATGGAATTTCACATAAGTTTTGAGGATATCTCCTTCTCAATCAACATTGGCTTTACCCCTATTTCTTAATTGAAATTAAAAGCATCAAACATCATAATTAGCACAAATGTCATATCATGGTTTTTCATCACAAACTAATAAAACAATCAGTTTTAGTATATTGATAATTATAGTAATTTTTTGAAGAATAATTAATTAATTGTCATAAACTTGCATATACAATGAAAGAGCTATAACCGACAACCTAACTGTTTGATACGAATCGACTGTCAGCTATATATAAATGCCACTGTATTTGAAACAAAATACAAAATTAACCATTTGGCTTTAAAAATCTGAAGCTAACCATTTTAAAGATTCTTTCAGCAATAAGTAATGAAAGAAAATGACTGCTGCTTTTGGTGGCCATGGAAAGAACATATAGACAGATGGGTGCGTCCAATTCTGATACTCCAGAGTTCAAAAAATATATATGGATTAGAACAGAGGAGTTGAAGGGTTTTTATTGGATTTGGGTCATATGGGCCGGTTGGGTCAGACTTAGATGTGACTTGTAAAATGGTTGAAGATTGTCTATACATTGCATTTTAATCTTTTTTATGTACAAATATCTTAATCTCTTTTTTTTTTCCCTCCTATTCCATTAATTATTACAAAGTAGAATTTTCTTGAGTCACATATGATTATTTGAAATTTGGTCTGGAGATTAATTCAAAACGTGTCTCATAAACGTTTATTCTAATAAGTTGTGTCCACATTATTTATATCTATTCCCAATCACGTCCTTGCAAAAAATTATAATCAATAAAGTTTTAACCTAATGATAAATAATCTACCAATAATTATCAGAATTAGTAGGTTTTAGATTTTATTTTCATTAATCTTTACTTTTTATTACTAATGAGAGGGAAAAGAAAATATTATTAAAAAAAAAAAAAAAGAAAAATTTCGTAAGCATAAACACAAAGTCTTAAAGAGGAAAAAATTATATAATACAACCATGGAATGGTAAACCAACAGTGGATAAACATTTGTGCATAAATGGTCTGATAATCTCTAGGTTTTTTCTCTCTCTAACAGTTTTTTTTTTCTAAAATTTTCAAAAACTGTATTTACGTACTCATCCGGTACTATATTTTTTACTGAGTTCTATTAGGGGTGTAAATGAACCGAGTAGGCTTGCGAGCTGGCTCATTTGCTAAATGACTCAAGTTCAATTTCAATGATGTTCGGTTTAAAAACTCGTTGAGCTTTTATATATAATATTTATTTTAGACTTACTCAAGTCTTGAATCTCAAGCCGAGTCTAAGTTCAAAATTTTTTGAGTTGAACTCGAACCTCAAATTGGCTCGAGCTTTCAACAAGCCGAGCACGAGTCTAAAATTTTTAGATTCGTTGATTTTCGAGATAAGCTCAAGCCTGACAGAGTATAGCTCAGCTTATTTACACCCTAGGTTCTATAAATAATTGTTTATTATTAATTTATCATTTCGTATAAACATCCTAGGTGGAATCACAGTTTCACCATGTAATAAGAACTGAAGAGACAGAAGAAAATTAAGCTACACGTGTTTCAGAACATTACACGTCACAAATATCATGCAGAACAAATCTATATATAAACACCTTGTGGAGGATCCAAAAGCAATATATATCATGCAGAAGAAGACTTTTAAATACCTTGTGGTTGTGAAGGATCAAGAGAAAATGAGTTCCTATAGCCAGGATATAATTGGCTCATAGGGATTGTCATGTTGTAATATTGCAATTGGCAAACCAAATCTAGGAAGAAGAAAGCCAAAGTATATCCAAAACTCTCCAATTCCTTATGTTAGCCACCACAAGTTCTCTGTAAAATCTCTATCAAAACAAAAACCAGTTTCACATAAGAATAAATAAGGGGACCCCATCTATCTCTCTCTCACACACATATTTATATATACATTTGGCTTTACAGAGACAATGTAATAACATAGAACCCAAAACGCAAAAGCTAAGCAGCTAAATTTGCTTTCTTCAGTGCAATAAATAGAAATAGAATAATAATCGTCATTACAGTGACGATGATCAATCAGTGTACAGTTCCCAAATGGAATCTAAAGCAACAAGTTAGACAAGAAAATGTCCAAGCAGAAGAGAGTAATAAAAGATCCTCTCACGTGGACATCAACCACAACTTGCTGCAGAATCTTACTTCCACTACTACCCAACAAGTCCCTATGTATGAACTCTCTCTTTCTCTATTTATTCCTCTTTTTCTTTGTATAAGGAATCCCTCTTTCTTAATCTGTGGCTTCTTTTAAAAGATTTTTTTTTTTTTTTTTTTTTTTTTTTTTTTTTTTTTTCTTCTATCCTTTTCTTCATGATAGCTAATAAATCTGAAAGAGAAAGCAAAGCTTCTTCTATTAACTTGTTTTAAAACCAGTCTTGTTATGGGTACTCTCCGCTATCAAAAATTTTTTTTTTTTTTTTTTTTTGTTTTTGTTTTCTTTCTATCTTTTTCTTTCTGTAGCTATAAATCTGAAAGAGAAAGCAAAGCTTTCTCTATTACTTTGTTTAAAAACCAGTTCTTGTTATGGGTATCTCCCTTGCTTCTGCTGGAATTGGTTTTCTTTCTTCATTATTATTAGCTGCTTGTTGTTTCATCAACCAATGGGTTTCTTTTCCAGGTTAAAATAACTTCTTTTCTCTCTCTATTCCATTTCTGATATATACTAACTTTTTGTTTCTTTAATATAATTTTTATTTTGGTTCTTGTGTGTACACAATTCATTTCCTATCACTTGTAAGCATAATTTGAATATAAAATTTTCAGTTGAATTAACATGATATTTGAAAAATAGTTTCTTTTCCATGGTATTCAACAAATTAGCATATCTAAAAATACCAAAGCTTTATTGTAATTAACAAATTAAATAATTAATAGTAATTATGTTATTTAAAAATGAAAATTTCAGGTCAAATGATTATGAGGTTGCAGAGCTAACATGGGAGAATGGTCAATTAGCCATGCATGGGCTTAGCGGGCTTCTTCCTTCTGCCCCGAGAAAGCCTACATGGACTGGGAGGACCAATGAAACCCTAGAATCCATTGTCCATCAAGCCACATCCTACCAAAAACACCACAAGGAGGAGGAGGTTAAAATTCCGGCGAAGGTAGCCTCGACAGTGGCATCATCGGACGGAAAATGGGCGGAAACATCGTCGGCGAACTACCAAGCCCAAATGGGCCCATTACTGATGAAGAAACGTACGAGATCAGAATCAAACCTGTGTGGAAGTAGTAAGGATCATGAGCATGTGGACCGTAGTGCATGTGCGAGTGCTTGCAGAGACAGTGACACTACCATGATGACTTATGCTTCTTTTGATTCTGCTCCAAGCTTCAAGCCCAAAACCACCGATGAAGATTCTGCTGCTTCTCATGGTGGATCGGTAAATTACTTAATTGATGTTAATAGGAACTTGATTAACTTAAGCAAATTAATATTAATTCCATTTATATATGATTCGTATAGGAAAACCAAGATGATGATCAAGAGACCAGAACTGAAACTGTTAGATCTCACTCTAGCAAAAGAAGTCGAGCCGCTGCTGTTCACAATCAGTCGGAGCGGGTAGTTATTATTATAGATTAGACTTGATTAGACCCATTTTATTATTATTTTGATATTACGAGATAAATATTAAACTAAAACAAATATAATTAATTTGATTTTTTTTATTATTTGTGACAGAGACGAAGAGACAGGATCAACCAAAAGATGAAAGCTCTTCAAAAACTGGTTCCAAATGCAAGTAAGGTCAGGAAGCAATACATTTTGTATCACTTTACATATAAGTAGGTTTTTTCTTCACTTTATTGATTAGAGATTCAAATTTTACTACGAGCGTGGGTGGGTATGAATGTTTCAATATTTTTCTAGTTCCAGGTCATCATCCCCATGATGGAGCAAATACTCGGAGTGTTTCAATATTCTTCTTGTTCTAGGTCTCCATCCCTATGATGGAGTAAATATTCAGGAGTGCTTTATCCCTACGTGGGTCAACATGTCGTAAACATGATTTAATCCTAATCCAGTGAATTGCGGGATATCTATGGTTAATACATACGGTGCTTCAAAATAAGATTGTAATATCATTTTACCATGATTTAAGAGAAAAAAATTTAAAATTCTTAATTATTATAGAAATTTATTGAATTTATAAATAATTAATCTTGGAAAAAAAGTCTAAAGAGAAAATGAAATTGCAGACAGATAAAGCATCAATGCTAGATGAGGTGATAGAGTACTTGAAACAACTTCAAGCACAAGTACAAGTGATGAGTGTAAGCAGAAACATGCCTCATCATATGATGATGATGCAACAACAACAACATCATCTTCACCAAATGTCTCTTTTAGCTCGTATGGGAATGGCTGGTGTTGGTTTAGGGATGGGAATGGGAATGCTTGACATCAACTCAATGCCACCACAAACTATCTCTCCACCGTCCCTGGCTGCTGCCACCGCTGCCCCGACATATGTTGGTCCTCCTCCTCCTCCTGCAGTCAACCATGGTTCAGTTCCTTTGCCTGATCCATATTGCAGTTTTTTAGCACAAGTATGTGATCTTCAAATATTATTACTTTCCTTTCTTTATATAAAAAGAATTAGTTTCTCTCCCCAAGTTAAAATTGTGGTTATAAACGAGTCAACTTGCTAATGACTCAGTTAAAGAGCTCGTTTAATAAATAAGCTGAGATTATTCTACTACTTAGTTCGGCTCGTTTAACCGCCCGATTAAAATGGTTTATATAAATTTTTTTATAGATTATTATCCTTTATAATCTCATTTTAGCATTTATACTTACTTTTGTTGGATTGAAGTCAATGAATATGGATCTTTACAACAAGATGGCAGCACTCTATAGGCAACAAGTGAATCAGAACACACAAGCAACAAGCAGCCCTCCACAGCAGTCCAGCCATGTTCAAGGTGATTAATATATTTGTATTTGTAGCTGATTATCAAAAATATTGTATTACCACCAGAAAATTTATACTGTGCAAGGATTACGTTGCCCATGTCATGTCATGAAAATTACATATATCCATATTCATTTAATTTAATATATCCAATTGAATATCTGTGGATAAAAAGTTTGTGGTTGTAGATATATAATTAAATTAAATAATATCTATAAATTATATTATAGATGATACATATGTTGATTAGTTATTGGAGTCACTAAATTAATTCAAGAAAATATATCGATTAAGCCTCAATTAATATAGAAAGTCTTCATCAAGGACCAATTTCAATTCAATTACATGAAAAAAATGATAAAAAAAAATTTATTTTTAAGTTAAATAATTCTAATAAAAAAAGTTATATGACTCAAATATAATTTTAAAAGTTCTCAACTGACAACTCAGAAGTTAGTTTCTCATATAAAAATTTATCCTATCAAACATTAAATGTTGAAAGTGACTTTATTGGAGGGATTTGGTATTATTTATTCACTAGCAATTTTTTTTTTTTCCTTTTAATTTTGAATATTGTTTGATATTCAAACCCATCCATGAGATTCATGTGAATATAGTTAAGTGGCACTATTACATAAGGTCCAATTTTCAAAAATATCGTAAAATTTTGATTTTGACATTATTCTATTGGCAAAATTACATTAAATTTGATTTTGAGTGTTATTTATATAGAAGCAGGATGTATGCATACGAATTTTAGCTTAACTTGTTAAACTCATATTCGAACGGCATCTTTTTTAGCTCAGTTTCAAACAGTTCACAACTAGTTTGATTCGTTTGCAACCTTCCATACAACTGGCATAGAGTCTATGAAATTGACCATCAAAGAATTTAAAATATGGACCGATAGAGATAGGAATGAATTGTAAAATGTGCACCACATACAAGTGGTCACAGTCTCATAGCCAAGGGACCATTTTTAAGCTCTACTTTAAATGATACTGGCTTTAATTAGACGCACCAACCTCTTCTATCTTAATCACATAATAAAACGATATTATTAAGATGGAGAAATTTGTAACCGTAGCAATCCAATTGCAATAGAATTTTTTTTATATATAAATTATTGCCATTTTATGTTTTTTTTTTTGACATATTTCTCGGAAGTATCCTCATTTCAAATAAAAAGAATGTTTTTCCGTTAATTTGATAGATGAACCAATAGATATAGAGTTTATTTATTTTTTTTTGACATATGATCAGATATATCCTATTTTAAAGAAAAATAATATTTTTTATTCATTCGATAGATGAACCCATGAATCAAATCTAGGCAAGTCATCATTGCTGGTTACACCTTCCAAATGGATATTTTGCTCGTCTTTCGATATAGTTATCTTTCAATGTAGCTATAAGTGCTATATGGATGCATATGTAATATTAAGAACCTTTTTTTTATGATAACTAAAAGAAATTGCATACATAAAGAAAAAAAAATGGAACAAACAACAAAAACCCTTCCATTGTTTCTGAGTTTTCTAAGCTCAACAGACCAATTTTCCTTCTTTTCCCCTCCATATGGTTTATTATATACAGTACAACTCAAAATGCATCAACTGTTACTGTTGGTCTGGCATCCTGAAGAGAGATCACTGATTCGAAAGCACCAACTAAAGCTTTAACCTTACTCTTCCTCGTCTCGGCGAGCTTAGTTGCTGTTTCCTCAATCACATTATTCAACAAACTCTGTTCGGTTTTCTCTTCAACATCTTGGTGTTTCAGCACAACCTTCTCACGTTCAGAATTTTCGACAATAGCTTCAACATCGTCAGTGAGAACTGTTTTCTTAGGGCTTCTTTTAGGAGTCTCAATTAGATCGATTTGGCTATCACTGTGGAATCTTCTTTTAAATTTGAGTCTCCTCGGAGAACTAATTCCAGGCTGAAGCTCAAGCAGCTTTACTGTCCTAAAACTTAGCTTTCTGGCTTCCTCTTTTGTGCTCACTACTCTATCTTTTTTAGGTGTAGTGTTGAATTCCACTTTTGCATTTGCTGCTCTATTCTCAACGTCAATTTGATTAGGTTCAGATAATTTACTGCCATGGATAGTCTCGGGTGACGCCAAAGAGGATGCAGATGACCGAATAATATGAGTTCCCTGCTTAGTGCGTCTCAAGCTAACATTCTCAGAGGGTTTTGGTGATTGATTGACATGGGTTCCATATCGAGTGCGTCTCAAAATCTTCTCTGCCGCTAATGGAGAAGATTGAATAGGGGAAATTCCTTTTGCAGCATGTTTCAAGCTTTTATGCCCAGGGAATAAAGATGGGGACTTGGAAGAATCACTGTTTTGGGTTGGTCTGACGATTTTGTTTTCTACATTTGATTCAATGGTACCCTCATTGCTAGGCCCTTTAGATCCAATGGTACTCGAATACTTCTTTGACACGCCCTCATTGCTAGGCCGTTCAGATTCAATGGTACTCGAATACTTCTTTGACACACCCACATTGCTAGGCCGTTCAGATTCAACTTTTCCAACACCACAGTGATCCTTTGGACGAGAAACTCCTTTCAGCCTCTTGGATTTTCCAATAGTCGCACTTGAAATTCTCTTTTCAGGAAGCTTGGTAGACAAAGAAACAATTGGTCGCGTCAAAACCTTCTTGACAGAATATAAGGCAGAAAAAGATCTTCGTGCAGAAACCTTTTTCTCATCCAATATGGAGGATTTCAATTCTTTAATTCTTCTGAGTGTAGTTTGTTCTCTGCTAACTGAAACTCTACGTGAATTCACGTAAGAAATATCCATTTCTTTGTTTTCTTGGATTGCACCATCTTCTTTACCGCTTGAATGCTCTTTTATTGGAAGAGAAGATGAGTTTGACTTTGACAGATTAGGCTTTGGCTTTGGATACAATCCATTGAAAGGTAATGAAAACTGTTTTACTAGGACAGTTTCTTTCTTAGCCGGCGATTGAAGTTCCTTCTTACCAACAAAAGGATAATAAGGTTTCTCGGTTTTTGAACCAGGAGAAGACGTAAAACTGCCAGTTAAGTTCTTCTTTCTTTCTGCCAAAATTGAAGTCTTTCCAATGTGGTGCACTTTACCTTGCTTTTCCATCACCCTCTCCAATCTGGGACTGCTAATTGTTTTTGTTTCAGCATCTTGTCTCATTCCATATTTACACTGATCATGGCAGGAACCTGTTGAGGCTGCAAGATAACGTGAAAGAATCTTTACGCTTTTGTATGGGATAGCAAGGTTCCCAGTGGAGAACCTTCTTACGTGACCATTTCCAGACTCAGCACAAACCGAGATTACAGGGGTAGGATCACTCTTGGCGATCAGAGAAGCAGAATCACTCGCCTCAATCAATTGTATAGAATCGCTTTCAAGGATCAATGATGTAGGATCTCTTTCTGGGATCATATCCATTTTCTCCTCAGTCACTGTTAAACAAATAAAAAAACAGTAATCTTTGCACTCCTGCAGCAAATATAAAACATTTAGACCTAGAGCAGAAAGCCAAAAAGAAAGGAAGAAATAAAACTAAAAAGTTGGTAAGGTTCTTTGTATTTCTTTCAAGAAAAACATGGAGCTTTTATCTTACCAAGAATCACAGATATGAAGCAACAACTATCTTCAGCTCTGAACGCTTCGCAGGTTATCAGTGTGAAATTGCCTTGATGAATCAAGAATTCCCCTAAAACCTGATGGTACTTGCAGCAAAAATTTCAGACCGTCGGAGCACAATTTAGTAAGCTTATAAAACAAATTATTTAACAATACATCAATTTAATATTTCCTGACATAGTAAACCATAAAATAACTCCCAAATTCAACATAAATATCGTTGAATAATTTCTTAAAAAGGTATAAATAATTATTTATGCTTTTCATGACTAAAAATATTATGAGTTTTTTCATTTGAAAATATTGCATATTTGTTCAATTGGTAGTATTACAAATCCAATTTTCTTAATCTAGTTTGAAATCCAATTTTGAAGATATTGCTTTTGATAAGATAAATGATATTCTCGCATTAGCTTCAATGGCAGCGTGCATCCATTCAAATAATCAAACAATAAAAGAAAAGTGTCTGAAGAACAAGAAAAAAAATTCAATACAAAGAGAAACTAATAACAGCATATTTTGATAAGATTAAATGATATTCTCGATTAGCTTCAATGCAGCGTGCATCCATTTCAAATAATCAAACATAAAGAAAAGTGTCTGAAGAACAATGAAAAAAAAATTCAATTACAAAGGAGAAACTAATAACCAGCATATATATATATATATATATTATATATATATATAAATATATATATATATATATATATATATAGCAATATCAAATTAATCAAAAATACATTAGTAAAAAAAAGCAACTTATAGCAATATCAAATTAATCAAAATACATTAGTAAAAAAAAGCAACTCGTCAAAGATCAAATCATTTTTTTAATTGCATTAATTAGAAAAAATATAGAAAATAATCAAATTCTTCATTTTGTTCCAACAAGTATCATATTCAAAAAGCCAAAAGAGATCAACCCCAATTAGCAGAATTTCTTCCAAACGACAAGCCAAAAGGAGATGAACCCATTTTCCATTTGAGTTGTCTACATAAAGACAAAAAAAAAAATAAATAAAAATTACAGCATTACCTTTGCAATTGTCGTGTTTCTCCAAAAGAAACCAAAAAAAAAAAAACAAAGTGAAGGACCCTCTCCTATGGACCCCCAAGAGAGGGCCTTCACTTTCTTTTGCCTAAGAAACAAAAAAGATTGTGTTTTTGGAGAAAACCGAATTAGCGCGTTTGTTGCAGTTGCAGAAACTCCCAACCAAAAACTAAAACCAGAAGGAAGAGAAAAGATAGGATTTTAGAGGAAGAAAGATATCACGGGACCCACAATTCATATGTATATATATATATATATATATGAACTGTGTGTGATTATTGTGAAATTTTCCTCCACAAATTATTGGTGAGATTAATTTTGAATTTTCATGCTTTATATTTTTTTGTATCATACTTATAATAACAATAATAATTAATTAAACCTTAAAAATTTTTAGTAGATGTTACGAATTATGATACTTGAGAATCAAATGTTTTTAAGCAGTATATTTTTATATTCTAGAAATTATATTGAGCTGAAATTCATACATGTTAAATATGTTTTTTCATCTCGAATTGTTAGTAATAATTTTGATTAAAAGAGACAAGTTATATTTCAATATAATTTTTCTTTACCCTATTGAGGTGTCAATTTATATATATTTATTTATTCTTTTCACTCTCTGTTGAAATCTTTTTCACAAATTTAGGAGAACTATTAAAAATTTATTCAGAGTTACTAAAAAAAGATGTTACTCTGTGCTGTATAATCCATACGATTATTTCATCATCCAATGAGTAAAAAATGTAATGAAAATTGAGGTACTCTTTCAAAATTCAACCAAGAAAACCTAGGTTTTGGTTATAAAAAAAAAGAAAGAAATATATGTAGAAAATTACGTTCTAAATGATTCCAATTTCTCAATTCAAAATCAGCATTTAGGCAAACAACTCATGGAGAAGGACAACACTTCTACACAAAAGAGTACCTTCCCATCTTTATTCATATAGAAATGTTATATAATTGATGATAAAGAAATGTTCATATACAATCTCATGGCAATACAAAGCACATCCTGGAATGTATCGGATAGCTTCACTTGGCTCTCAGAACTGAATCGACAAAACTGGAAACTTCAATGTATATGTAACTATCAAAGAGCAAAAACACAGTAGCAAATTACTGATATAACTACTACCTTCGGCATAAAAAACACTGAAACTGGAATAATGTTCCAAGAACTGGTCTTCTCGCGAGAAACTTAAAGCTTATATTTACACTACAGCAAGATAATACTAGCATCTTACTGATATCGATTGTTCCCCCAAAAATTTTGAACTACCAAAGAAAGGCAATCCCAAGACCAGCCTACCATCTGCAATCAACTTATTAGCCAGATGCTAAAATTTATAAATCAAGTTTGGCACAAGAAGTGATTTGATTGAAGAACTTCAAATCCAGAACCACAGTTTGCAAAAACAGCAGTGAACATCTAACAAAAGCAAAGTCATTAAATTGAGATACCAGTGGATTGGCAAGAAGGGGAATGCAACATATTTATGCTCTGTGCAAGACAATGGGCAAACCAATCAAGTGAGGATTTCTCTAACTAACCAATCCAGGCTAGGTAAGGCAAAGTATAAGATGAGAAAAGAAGGGAGAGCAAATACAAGGGTGATAAGGATGTAGAGCGCCAAGACAGCTGCGCTGGCTGGGATTGCATATAAGACAATGAGAAGAAATATGACAATCAATGGAAACTTAGCTGTCAAGTGAACAAAGAAAACCAATGACTTACGAAGGGATAGCTGAAGTCCTTCAGCATTAAAGTATCTAGCATTAAGGCGACCCTCATCACGGTTAGATGTTGATTGTACTGGGGGACGAGCACACTGGGCTCGCCTATTATGAATTTGGTTAACTTGATTTCCCACAGCTAAATTTCTGCTTGAAGAACCGACAGGCTGATGATCCCCACGCAAGGAGAAATATGATGTTGATCTATCACCATTCATGCTCTCAACCATCCAGAGAAGAAAGTAGTTCTTGCTGGGAAACTTGAGATTTCCTTTGTAGACCATCCTGAAAGATAGCAGATTACACCAAGGACAAGAAATGAAGAACGGAAGCTGGATTGGCAGTGTAGGGAGTTTCACAACAGCCCTTTGCAGCCCGAGCACACAATTCTTACACAGGGTATGACCACACCATAAAACATAGGGCACATTTTCAACAATGTTGAAAGATTCCCAGCATATAGGGCATTCAAGTCCCTCTTCTCTGCAATTGTTTAAACAAGGTTCATCATCTGAGCACTCTGAAGGAGCTTGACTCGGCTTTAAAAGGTCATTCTTCAGCTGAATGGATCCACTAATGGCTTTTGAAGCAAAATTCCACATGGTGAAAGTGAAACAATTCAACTCAGAAAAAGGGTACTTGAAGAGTACCAAAAACCATTACCTGAATGAATCAAAAGTCAAAACCCACAATCATTATACAGTATCAATTATGAAATAGTGCAGTGTCAAAATAATAAACTATGACAACAATTTTTTTGAGATGAATAACACTGAAAATTTCATGGGTTCGGATTGAATAAACTATTTATAACAGCATAGCATATTACCCAACTAACAAAAGCATGCACTCTATGACATATGAAGTTCATAAGAAGTAAAATTCCAGAGGGCAATGAAGCATATAACAAAATCCCAAAAACCAAAGTTTCTGTTTTTACTATAATTAACGATTACAATAGCCTGTTGACATAATGAACATACCCCACAACGCGTTGCATATCATTGATCAGTTTCAGTGAGGACATTCAATTGCCCAATACCTAATTAAAAATGGATGGCAATAATATTAACAAATCCAATAACCCAAAATTGATTAGCTCTAGTTAATTCAATAATCAGAAACTACACAGTAGCAGAAATTAGTGCACTGCAGGTATGCTATATATAACTACTGGATTACGATAGATACCAGTAGATTACCTATTAAAAATTACGGAAGCGGCAGCCATAAATCCCGAAATTAAAGTCTCATAACCAAAGGGTACGGTATGCTGGTGGTAATACCAGAAAAAATGAAATCATAAACAAGAGGTGATAAATAAATCTATAAGAAAACCATTCTTTTGATCATTGAAGAGCCTACTAACATATACTTGCAAAATAATAAAAGAAAAATGCTTTCATACAACAAAGAAATTAAAAGAAATACCGTAGTAATTCAATGAAGAAAAGATTAGGGCACTTTTTTTTTTTTAATTATACATAACATGGCCTGTAATTCAAAATTAACCACAAGAAGAAGAAACAGAGAGGGAGAATTAGAATAGAGAGCGAGCTTGATTACCTGGGAGAGGTCGGGCTCTGTCTGTCTCCGTCTTCCTCAATCTCGAAGAGAAGCTGAATTATTTATTATTAAGTAAAAATGCTCAAATTGGCTCCTGAATTTGCACCCAATATTCAATTTCCTCATTTTTTATCTTTTTAGCCAAAAAACTCGTTTAACTTCCAAGAATTCGATCAATTTACTCATTTTTTGACTTGGGTCACCTCGCGTGCAAATAACAGCACAAGAGCGTGTGACACAATTATTTTAAACTAAGAAAAAAAATTAAAAAAGTTTACAGTACCCCTCAGCTTTTGTACTAACATCTCGAGTACCAAGCAATTGTTTCTCGCTTCTGATTGATTTGGGTATAGAAGCAACTCATGTCTAAATCATGTTTTTTGAGTGCATAGTCATGTTTGTATATAAAAAGATATCGAATTCGTTAAAATGAACAGATGAAATAAATACAGAGCCAATATCTTGACTACGATGCCGAGTACCAGTTATATATTGTCTTTTCAAATTATCTTTGCTTTATGATCTATTTTTTCGTTTTCCTTTTCTTTATTGGCATTTTGTATGATCATCATGTTTGGACTATCGGTTGCTAGGAAATGACATTAAAAGATGATGCATTTGGCTATGGGAGACAGTGGAAGTAAACCTTCATTCTACTTACTACCCTTCCCATCTTATTCTCTTCCTGCATTGGGTATCTGCAATGGCAAAGAAGGTGAAAAATGAATAAACTGAATATTGGATACAAGTTGAACGGACAATTTGAGCATTTTTCCTATTATTAAATAAATAAATAAAAGTAAAGGAGTGTTTTTTAGATTCAGTGTATACGCAGAAGAAAAAGAGTATTTGTATTTGAAATACAAGTGTACCATCTTCCTTGCATTGGGTACTGCAATGGCAAAGAAGGTGAAAATGAATTAAACTGAATATTGGATACATCTTATTCTCTTCCTGCATTGGGTATCTGCAATGGCAAAGAAGGTGAAAAATGAATAAACTGAATATTGGATACAAGTTGAACGGACAATTTGAGCATTTTTCCTATTATTAAATAAATAAATAAAAGTAAAGGAGTGTTTTTTAGATTCAGTGTATACGCAGAAGAAAAAGAGTATTTGTATTTGAAATACAAGTGTACAGAAGTGTATACGCAGAAGAAATAGAGTATTTGTATTTGAAATACAAGTGTACAGAAGCAACGGTATTGTACGACATCGTTTCTTCGGCTTGTAGAGACATGAAAGTCCACTTGAATAAGAATAACTGAAATTACCTAGTATATCAATTTTCTAAGCATAAATTCATGAAAAGTAAGTGCTCAATAAATTATACGATTGTTTGTAGATGGTAGCCCAATTAGAGGCCCAAGATGGTAGGCCCGAGAATAAGGGCCCATCTAGAGAATGACAAATCCAGCAAGAGGCTACTTGGGCCTAGAATTTATTTTTACCCCTAAGGATTTGTTTAATGACTAATATTTAAAATGGTTAGAGGTGGTTTATAGTCAAATACTCATGACATGTAATCTCTTTGGTATTTTATCCTTACCTTATTTTATACTTTTCTTAAAAAATATTACATTATAAAGTTTAGAACTCAATTAGAGATTATGCAAAAAATAAGAATTTACAATAATAATAAGTTACGATAAATTATTAAATAAATTGACTATATTATCCTTAATTTAATATATCTAAATACCAAATTAAATTTTAGACTTCTCAATTCTTCATGCTTTTTCCAACCATAGTGATGGAGAGATTTTAAAAACATAAAAGAGGTAACAGTAAATAAAAAGAGAAAATTTTTTTAAGAATTAAAACAATAATTATTGGTCATATATAAAGGGTAAATATGGAAAAAAAAATCATTACTCCTTCAAATCACAAACGTGACAAGTATTTTGAAATAAATTATTTTTTCAAATATAACAAGTATTATGAAACGGAGATATAGGGCGTAATAAGTTTTAGATTTATGATTAATAAATAATTAATACTAGTGATGAAGATCAAATATTAGAAAATATAATTTAAATCATGTGATGAGGCTCATCAATGTAAGTTGCCTTGCAAGTCTACCATATATGCTGTAACAAACTCATGGGATAATTATAGCTATAATAAGAGACAGGGTAGGCAAGTCATTTTGGTGGTAAATAAAATAAATTAACTAAAGTTTCTACTTGTTGGCTACTCTTCAAGTTACATTTTAGAAAAATTATTTTGCAAAATACTAACAGAATCAATCCTTCTCTTCAAAGTAATGAATTCAGATACTAAGCAAGCAAAATTATAGAAACTTAAAGAAAAATTTGATATAATATTTTATTTTTTTATTATATTGTATTGTGTATATCTTAAAAGATATTATTTATGTCATCATGTATATACTTTTGATTTCTTTTTATACAAATGAATTATCATAATCTTAAATTACAATATCTTACAATACAATTCAAATATCTATTAATACATGCTCATAATTAATTTTGATTTTTAAAAATATCAAATTTTATAAAAGAATCCTTCTTTTTTATAGATAAAATCTCATGATTAAAGCTAGAAACGAGATAAAATCGAATCAGACTCAATTAAAAATATATATGAATTTAAGCTTAACTTCAACTCAATTCGAGTTTAATAAATTAGATTGCAATTTGGTTTGTTCATGGTTTATAATAAAAATAAGAAAAAAAAATTATACCCTGTATAGAGCTGAACTCGATCATAATTAAATGAGCTCAATAAACAAACTTAGGTTTAACTTGTCAAACTTATAAATGAGTTTTAAATGAATTTTTTTGTTGAACGGTTTATAAAACACTTAGCTGTCGAATTTAGACTTTAACAACAATTTATCCGCAGACTTCTATTCTCTCTTTTTGATAAGTATGTGATGGCTCAACACGGGTAAATTTTTTGTTGAACGGTTTATAAAACATTTTGTTGTCGAATTTAGACTTTAACAATAATTTATCCGCAGACTTCTATTCTCTCTTTTTGATAAGTATGTGATGGCTCAACACGGGTAAATTTTTTGTTGAACGGTTTATAAAACATTTTGTTGTCGAATTTAGACTTTAACAATAATTTATCCGCAGACTTCTATTCTCTCTTTCCACTCAAGAGCTAATTCATTATCTTATATTTTTCTCAATAGGGAACTAATCTGCGGCCTTTTACATTCCCCTCTCAAGTGACAATTGCGCCACTTGATAAATATACAATGGCTTAATCACTGTCTATTAAGATACTTTCCACTTGAAATTTTTCTTTTCATCTCGAGTTTCAGGCTCTAATACCACGTTAAAGCAGCTAATCAAATTCAATACCAATTCCATTAATAATTTAAGCTTATAATTTGATCGATTCACCATATCATTACTCTTCTTAAATTTTTTTCCAATTCATTATATTTGAAATTAATCATTATTATCATTTGATTTGATCTTTCTCTTGTGCTGTAACAAAGAAGGAAGAATAGAAAAGAAATGAAAGAGGCAAAGAGGGGAGGTGCTCACAATTACAAGTAGAGCAACAAATTGCATTTGAATAAATAAAAATGAAATGAACCATGATTGTACATGTTCCCTTGGCTTGAAGAAGGGGCATTCCCTTCTACTGTGTAGGGACACTAATGGGCAGAAACCCCATCATCAGAACTTTCTTTTCTTCTTTCTTTCTTTCTTATTGTTAACTCAGCAACCTACACTGCTCATCATGTACTATTCTCTTTAAATGAATAAAGAAAATGATTTATAACTATAAAATATCATATATATTTGGAGTTTGGTTCACTTCTTCTTCAAAATATTAAAATATTCAACAACTCAGATCTTGTTATTATTGCTTCACTTTTTACAAACCCTAGAAAAGAACCCCTAAAACCATTGAGGGTTTCAATATTTTTGGGTCTCAAGACCTCTGGAAACTCTTCAATGGTTAAATACTTTAAAAAAAAAAAAAATGCTTAGTTCCTACTAATCAGGCTTTAACCACTGATCAGCCCTACCCACCAACAGTTAAAGCTAAATCAAAGCAAGGGCATTGGTCAAACTCAAATCTTAAAGCAATTTCAACTACTAAATCAACTACTAAATGCTGAAAATTTAGTTTTAAAAAACAATTAAATTATGATGAGCTGTAAAATCTTGGGTCCACGTGTTAGTGTCAGTTCATCATCCAAGGGTCCTACCCCATGCATGCATGTGCAAGTCTTCACTTGGAGTTGGGACAAAGTTTTTAAATTGAATATCAGTCGCATTCTCAAATTTTAATTTTAATATTTCCTTAAGTTATGAAATTACATATATTAAACACTGTAAAATTATTTTATTAAATATTTTAATTTATAAATTAAATTGATTGAACAGATAATTGAAAAATGTGAGAAATTATAGTTCTAAAAATTATACTAATCACATGTCAAATTAATAATTTATAAATAAAATTAAAAACCAATACACTATTATTGCAAATGTGAAGACATATACAATATTCCTAAAATTTATAATCTTAAAAGTATAATAGTTTCCCTAAAAAATATTTTGCAAAAAATACAAAAGATGATTTTGCCTTTTTTTTTTTTAATAAGTTCTTGATATTAATAGAATGTATTGTTAGCATAAATAAGTTTTTAATATTTGAAAATAAGAAAATAAAATAAGTTTATAAGATATTCATGAACAAAAGTAATTGTAAGAATATATTTTGATCCTCAGAAGATCAATTCGGTGCGAGTAAAATTTAATTTTAAGTGGGTGAGTTAGTTATAAAAAAAAGCTTCACACTAAAATGTCATATTTATGTATGGTATGGTGTCAACTGTCAAGTGGCTTATTCAACATATGCTGTGCTGTATCTTGTTAGCTTATACGCCTTGTTTGGAAAGTAGAAAGTGATAAAGAAAACATAAAAGAGATAAAAGAAATAGTTAATATTCTAGTCTTTTTTCTTATTTGGGAATGAGGACAAGGCAAAGGAAATAAAATATAAGAGTTAAAGATATTTATTTTATCTTCAAATTGAAACAAAAATCTATTTGGATTATAAAATCTAGTTATAAACCTCACATTGAAAAGAATAATAATAAAGTAATTAAAAGTTATGATAAAATGAGTAGTCGTTTAATGCAAAAGTATACTTTTTATCGTAACGAGAGTATTTTTAATCATTTATTGAAAATAATAATAATAATTTTAAAAAAATTCTTTATTGATTAATTTAGTGTACAAAATAATCTCATTTATCGAGTAGAAACAAGTCTTATCCTTATTTAATATAAACCAATTAATTTTATATAAGTGAGTTTGAATATTGGCTCAATTTTCTTTATAAATAAAATTATAGACCCAGTTTAGACAAGTGCATCTGAATCACGTGACGTTACTAATAGTCATCACCTAGCGAAGAAACCAAACTCAAGTAAAGAAACTAAATCCCATCATTTTAGGTTGTCACGTGTGTCTCCTAGCAAGCAAACCATCTCTTCCTTCAAACATTATTACATATATATTTTTCCTTTTGTTAAGTTTTTGACTGCAAGCACATTTTTTAAGTCTCGTCGACTATAAATCCCCCGTGTCACCTTATCACCTTACCACATTTTCATAAAACAACCAATTTATATATATTTTTTGACACCCCCTATAAAGAAAAAAAAAAAAAATCCCATTAACCCCATCAACCACACCATGGTCTCCGAATCAAGCCAATCGAAAAACGTCTGCGTGATCGGAGCTGGACCATCGGGGCTAGTGGCGGCGAGAGAGCTAAGAAAAGAAGGCCATAGGGTGGTGGTTTTAGAACAAAAACATGATATTGGTGGTCAATGGTTATATGAACCAAATGTGGAAAAAGAAGATCCTTTTGGAAGGAATAAATTTTTACAAGTGCATAGTAGTATTTATTCCTCTCTCAGATTAATTTCACCTAGGGAAATTATGGGTTATACTGATTTCCCATTTTTGGTCAAGAAAGGTAGAGACATGAGGAGATTTCCTGGTCATAGGGAACTTTGGTTATACTTAAAAGATTTTTGTGATTATTTTGGTTTAAGAGATATGATTAGGTTTAATACAAGAGTAGAGTATGTGGGTATGCTTGATTATGGTGAGTTAAGGAAAGATTTGAAATGGGTTGTTAAAAGTAAAGAAGAAACTAATGGAAAACAAGTTGAAGAAGTGTTTGATGCCGTTGTTGTTGCTACTGGTCACTATTCTCATCCTAAGATGCCTACAATTAAAGGTACGTTCTGTTATTTTTTTCTATTTTTTCGTGTTTTCAAGAATTTCTTTCTTTGAGCAAAGTGACTTTTAAAATCTTTAGACTTTAGAGTTACAACTGCCAATGAAAAGAATGAATTTTTCTTCACGCTAAGGTCATGTCATGTTGTAGTAAAAATGAATCAAGAAAAAAAAAAAAAAAAAAAAAAAAAAAAAAAATCAAGAAAAAAAAAAAAAAAAAAAAAAAAAAAAAAAAAAAAAAAAAAAAGAAACAAAGATCAGAACTTTATGCATAATTAATTAGTTGGCAGCTGTAGAACTGGTCCTTTTTCTTTTCTTTGCAGATTCTTTAATGATTTTTCGTTTCTTTTCCTTTCTTTCTTCTTTTCATTTCTTTTCTTTTCTTTTCCTTTCTTCCTTCTTTTCATTTCTTTTCTTTTCTTTTCCTTTCTTCCTTCTTTTCTTTTCTTTTCTTTCTTGGTCAATGATTTTTTCATGTGTATGTTTCTTGAAGGAATGGATACATGGAAAAGGAAGCATATGCACAGCCACATTTACAGGGTTCCTGAACCGTTTCGCAATGAGGTCTATTTCTTTATCGTAGTACATAAACATGCACTTAGAACACTCGTTTAGTTTGCCTAATGAAGTAATTAAGGAATATAATAATTATTCCATTATAATGAAATACATTTTTTTTTATTTTCTATAATTTTTTGCTTGGTTAAATATTATGCAGGTGGTGGTTGTTGTGGGAAATTCACTAAGCGGACAAGATATATCAATGGAGCTAGTAGAAGTGGCCAAGGAAGTTTATCTAAGTACAAAAACTCTTGAAATAACACCAGGCTTGTCGAAAGTCATCTCTAAACATGAAAACTTGCATCTTCGTCCACAGGTACATACATTAATCACAATTTAAAAAAAAAAAAAAAAATTATCGTATCAAAGATGAATCGAGATTAAACTGGAAAATATCCATCTATTATTGTTAATTGCTCTAATTTTTTTGATTTTGCATCAATGATATTTATTTGCAGATAGAATCCCTTGAAGAAGATGGCAGAGTGCTATTTGTAGATGGCTCTCAAGTCATTGCCGATACCATCTTATACTGCACAGGGTAAATTTGAAATCTTAATTAAATTCTTTATTATAATATTAAAACTAAATTATTAGCTAAATTATGCATGTATATATATACATCCGCACGTATGCTCTCTTATTTTTATTTACTTATTCGTTAAGAAGTTCAATAAATTAAAATAATATTATAAATTAATACAAATTATTGTTATAACGAATAAATTTAAATCTGAAACTTCTTATTCTTTGTGACCTGGAAGAATTCCTTCGTGTATAGAAATTTTCATCTATATCGCTATGATCCAAAAGACCACACAGTAACAGTATATATTCGTAAAGTGAGTTGCTAAATATTATTTGACAAAAAAAAAAATATAAATATAAATATAAATAATTGACCATTTTAATAATCAAATCACAATTGCCAACATCAACTAGCTAGGGAGATTTCCAAAGCCAGAAGTTGCCTGATTAGGATATCATGACTCTTAACTTTTGACTCTGAGATACTTTGGTGGGACCCCAAATCCATATTTGTGGTGCAAATTTTAAATTTTAGAAAAAAAACTTTTTTAACGCCTATAAATTTTGCTTTTTTTACAATAAATTTATATTTAAATTCTCGTTTCAACAATAAAAAAAATTTTTAATTTATGAGATACAATAAATCAATTAGGTATACAGTGTTTAAATCGGTCTTTTGCATGATCTTATCAAATGTGGGTATATGTGTAGGTATACATACACATTTCCATTTCTTGACACCAAAGGAACAGTGGTTGTGGATAATGATAGGGTGGGACCTTTGTATGAACACACCTTCCCTCCATCACTTGCTCCCTCTCTTTCTTTCGTAGGCATACCTAGAAAGGTACACAATCTTATCATTCTCTTCTACTCATTCCAATACCTTATATTATTATTATTATTATTAATTTTTTTGGGGGAGTTGCTGCAGATTATAGGGTTCCCATTTTTTGAATCACAAGCAAAATGGATAGCAGAGCTTCTGTCTGGGAAAAGAAGATTGCCATCATGGGAGGAAATGATGCTCTCCATTAAGGAGTTTTATAAATCAAAGGATGGTGCTGGTGTTCCCAAACATTATACTCACGATATTGCAGATTTTGAGGTACATAATTCATATATATATATATATATATATAACTTTGCAACTAATTAATTAATCAATCAGTAATAACACTTCCTAATGGAGTTTAACTTTTAGTTAATCATAGTTAACAAGCCTTTCATGCATAGTTAATCACCAATACTTTAGAGTTAATAACATCATCAGATCATTTTTAAATTTAAAATGATTAAGGAGAGTCTTTCTTTATGCATAAATTTTTTATTGCAAAATAATAATAATTTTAATTTTAATTATTAAGTGGTTGTTAAGAAAAAACATAATCTTCAGTATAGTGATTACAAATCATTAAAAATTATCATTATAAGATAAATTGAACGTATTAGGTATAAATAGGGATAAATGATAATTTCAATTAATTTTTTCTTATAGCAACTAAAAGGGTTTTTTTTTTTTTTTTTTTTTTTTTTTTTTTGAAAGAAATTTTTGTTTAATGGTCCAGCAAATCTAATTTATTGATTGAGTTCTTCTCAAGATTAGTTATGGGTAATTATTATTTAGTTCCCCCATAATTAATATTTTATAAGTGAAGTTTTTTTGTTTTCAAAAATTATTAAATATTTTTTTTTAATTATCATCAATTTGTAGGGGACTAAATAATAATTCAACTTATGTTTTTTTTTTTTTTTTTTTTTTGAAAGAAATTTTTTGTTTAATGTCCAAGCAAATCTAATTTATTGATTGAGTTCTTCCTCAGATAGTTATGGGTAAATTATTATTTAGTCCCCATAATTAATAAATTTTATAAGTGAAGTTTTTTGTTTTCAAAAATTAATTAAATATTTTTTTTAATTATCATCAATTTGTAGGGACTAAATAATAATTCAACTTATGATTATTTCTCTATGAGATTTAAGTGAAATATAAAAAAAAAGTTTTTCTATATCAATAATTAGTTAGTTTGGGCAATCAAGGCAGCTTTTAAAAGTTTCTTTATGGCAATAGGCCATGCATGTTGTTTCATTTATGAGCTGGAAAAGACCAGTCAATTTTCATACCTTAAAATCTAATTTAAGTGACCCAAAAAAGAAAAAAGAAAAGAAAAAAAATAAAAAATATTAAAAGAGTAGAAATGAACCTAAATAATAGAAAGCAATCTGAGTTTGCTTTTTATTGCAGTATTGTGATAGGTATGCAGATAATATTGGATTCCCACGTTTAGAAGAATGGAGGAAAGAGCTTTGCATATCAGCCTTAGTAAATGCATCAGAAAACTTGGAGAACTACCGTGACTCGTGGGACGACCATCACCTCCTCCAAGAGGCTCTTCAAAGTCCTCATTTCACTCAACTTGGAGTTCAAGATTTCACTTTTATGTAAAATTCTCTTTTTGTTGGGTTTTATTTGTACCTCTCTTTTATAATATTCATTGTTTAAAGAGAAGGGTAAAAAGAAATTATGGTTTTCCTATCATTTTGGGCAAAGTATAGTTCAAAAGTTTTTGTAAAACAAAACATTTTTTTTTTTCTCTTTTGGCGTATTGCCTCAGCATTGTTAATCTGCCTATTGTGTAAAGCCAAAAAAAGAATATATCAAATTGTTGAGAAATTATCTTGAAATAAAAACTAGATGGGTTGATGTTTCAGAGCAGGAGATTTTCTTGGGAGTTGATTTGATGTTTTTTTTTCCCAAGTTACCGTCACATGGGAGTCTCAGGCAATTAATTCTCTCTCCTTATTACTATTGGTTGATTGCATATTGCATTTTGCAATTGGCATTGTATACAGTGAGATTAGTAATTTATTCTGCATCATCGTGTTGGATAAAATTAAGTGTTTTGATAATTGTGAGCTATTTTAATAATATTTAGTACGTTATCTTTTACCTCTAAAAAGTAACTTCAAAGCATTAATATTCAGTTCGCTATCTTTAATTTGTAAAATGTAAGTTCAAACGCTATATTATCGAACACTATAAATAATAGTGTTAAAAAGTTGTTCAATGTGTTTCTTTGGTTTCCTCATACATCAAGGATTTGCAAAGATTGATAATCACAAAGATAACTTCTTCATGAAGAGCATGTTCAAGCGATAATCAGAGGGTTAACTTGCAGACCCACCCTCAAATTTTGATCTAGGGCCAGCTTTGCTATATATCAGGATCAAGTCCATTCATGGATTTTAGAATTGATACCCAGTTCATGGTTTGAAATATCCCAATGCCAATGTTTCATAACTTGCTACATCTTTAAAACTATCAAGGATTGGCTAAGAAATAACATTTCACATGTACAAGCATTTCCATTGCTTCACTATAAACTAAACCAAAAAGCTCAAAAACACATATTCCATTTGGTCTTTCCTATATGGATTATGACGCTTATCAGATATCAGCCAAATTTGTTATGTTTTCCATGTACAAGATAATCTCATAGTTCACTCACTATAACTTGCCTGAAAAAACAACACGAGCAGAGTGTAACTACACTTGGCCTAAAATTAGCCGGGGTTTACTAGCAGGACACCTCTGTCCCCTCCGCCTCCTTGTTATCTTCCCCCAACCAATTAAGCTCCTCTCCTCAATACTGCATTCGCCATGTCTGGTTCGCTGCTTCAACAGTGTACACATGGAGGTTTCTGCATTGGAAGAAGATATGGAAGGTCGCCTCCTCCTCCCCCTCGTCCACCCATTTCCACCTGTTTTCCTTGCACATGTGCTCCGATGAGCAGCCTCAATTAGCCCTCCTATTGCCTGAAGATCTTCAGTCACCTCATACCTTGACAAAGAGGCAAGACTTGGTAGAATTTCACTTTGAAAGTCCTTCCGCTGCTGCCTCCTCCGTCCCCTCCTAGGCTGACTTGGCAATGGAAGTGGACACGCTGCTTCCTCCTTTTGAATGTTGGTCTTACAATAGTACTCTTCGACATTTGTCTCCTTCAGGTTCAATGTCATTGCCTCAAAATAGTCCATCCCATAAGAAAGATACTCGTCGTCATTAGTTATGTTCTTAAAACTCAAAGCTATACCAAATCCATTCTCTGGATCATCTACTATATTAGATGCTATCTTGGCAAACCAATATAGTGAGTCACTCTGTGAAGCTGCACATGGCTTGAAAGCCTCAGTTTCTTTATAACCCTGAACCTGAGACAATGAAATGGAAACTATAGCCTCTGCTGCAACTGTTATCAGATCCTCTAGCAGATTATTTTCTTGTCCTGGCAGTTGACAAAGCATCTCAAGTTGGTTTTCATCAGATTCTCCTCTTGGTGGAGATGACTCCTTGTTTTCTGGACTTGCCGGTGCCTGCAAATTTATTTCGGTTAACGGAGCAGGCATGGGTGAAGACTCATCCTCTTGTATCCATGAGTTGAGGTCAAAATGAAATCCACAGCCTGAAGACTTTTTGTTATGTCTGTTCTCTGGAACTAGGTCCTTTGCATTGAGCTGTTCTCCAGAATCAGGTATTGAATTGCAGTTCAAGTCCAGTTTTTTGTTGGATTTTGCAAGATGTGGAGGGTTTGCTCCATGCAAAGGTGAGAACCCAGTTGAGTCTTTACTTTTCTCTTCACCATCGGATGAACAATTAGGTGATATTGAATTCAGATCTATATCCCTTTTCAACTTCAAATCCACAAAATCCTTAACGCGCTTTTTGCTGCCATTACCTTCAGATGCGAATTCATTGTCAGTGTTGCAGAAGCTGCTCTGATCACTTGTGCTGCTAAACTTTGGCTTAGACCTTCTCTTCAAACGTACAGCACTGTTAAAACATGGAAGTGCTTGAACTGCTATAGGGGCCCTTACAAAGTCACGTGTATGTTTCTTCCAAGATGAATCACAAGTCATCACATCATCCAGAGGAATGAGTTCACTTGATGTAGCAGTGCAAGCAGCTTTAACCACAGGATAGCTCTCCAAATCAAAATCTTTCCTTTTTTTCTTAGGCATTCTCCTGTTCAGATTCAAATGAGATGTTGAAATGTCATGATCTTGCTCAATCTCGTCATCTTCAGATGATGAGGATAGTGTTTCAGTACATATCCTTTCAGGAAAAGAATTCATGCCACTGCTACTTTGCCCTGAAAGGAAATATCCAAATCATGCAAGTCATCAGCGGTACTAACAAAAGACAGATGTGAAATTAAACACGCATTGCAGAGGATATAATGATGAAATTCACCAACAAAAACGAAAAAATAAATAAAAATAAAGAAAACGGAAGAAACTTCTATTTTGATGCAACCTTCTAATAAAGTTCTCACCAGCTTCATCATTATCAGATAGGCACTCCGGCATACTTTTACTCTTTTCCAGGTCTAAAACGTTTGAGAAGGCTTCAGGAATTTCAGGGTCCTCTCTTGTCTGGGTACCTTGGATGGTCTGCTTTAGTTGAACCCGCAAGTCTGAATTTCTCTTCCCAGACAGATCCTGGCACGTGTTCTCTCTATCGCATGGCACAGGACCCAGGAAAACATTGGATTCAAGATTTGTTTCTTCTTCAAGCTTGATGGGTTCATTCAAATCAGCTAAGCAATTGGTTTTCCTTGAAAATGAAGCTGGCCTCGTATCACCATCTTGGAAAACCAAGTTACCATCATCAATACCACGAGATGGTTCTACTTCACTCTTTTGCACATCATCAGCAATGCTTTTCATATGATAACCTGGCACATCAGGAGGAACTGTTTCCCCAGCTAAAGATTCCTCCTGTTCACTATCAATGTATTCATCAGCTGGAAGTTCTAGATCCAATATCTTGTTACCAAATTTCTTGCACTTAGACTCCAATAACTCAGACTCTTTTCCATATCCTTCAGTCTGAACTGTAATGCAGCCCACCTCCTTGAGCTTTCCTTCAACATATTTCAAATGTGAATGGTTTTCAGCACCCACAACAGAGAATTGAGTAGAAGTAGGATTCAGCCAGGGTATGGCAGAAACTGTTTTCTTCTGGAAATACTCAAATGAGGGTCCACAGAATATTTGATTTGACTGTGCGGTGTCTACCTGTAGTTGATGTCCATGAAACCGAATCCTTTTCACCTCATCCATTAGTTCTTTCTGTCTTTTGTAAAGGCGGTGGAGTTCATGGATCTGGACAGTCAAAACAAGGTATAGACACATTTCATCAACTGTAACTGTTATTGAATCATACAATTAATTGATATCAGAGTTCATTACTAAAAAAACACGGGTAAAGAGTTGGACAAAAAAGGGTCCTGTGATTGCTGTTAGGCCAGATTCGGACGACAAAAGGAAGAAATAATTTTCTTCACTTAGAGAAATTATCAAGGTTTCAAACCAATGGCTTCCAACTAAGTATACCACAAGTGCATCAAATGAGCTTATTTTGGCACGTAAAATACATTGAGTATCATTAGCACTGAGCAGAATGCTTTGACATACATCTTTTACATGATTCATTATACCTAAGTTCACCAACAGCAATGTAAAATACATGGTTAACGCTTCTCAGACACTTTGACATGCATCATGACCCTACTACCAATTAGAAATCACTGTTCTACAGCCAGTCACTGTCAATCTTTATATTCTATCACTTTTCCAGTAGCCTTGAGCCTGATTAGAAAATTGCAAAGGTTTTTTATATACATTCAGAGGTGAAACTGTCTAATATATTCTGATGACAGTACAAATTAATTGCAATTAAACGTAATCCTCTTTCCTCAGAAACAACAAAAAAAATGTAATCCTCAGAAACTCAGTTTTATGCTTACATTTGATATGCTCGATACTATCACTTTTATTTCCATAATAAATGAAATATGATACATAAGAAGACATGATTTTTACTCCATGCTGAAACTTAAGACAAAACATACCTGATCCTTAAATATAGCTTCATGTTGAAGTATTGTCTGCTTCAGTTTTTCCTTGCAAGTCAAATACTGGTCTGGAGATGATGGTGCCAAACTCACATTGCAGTACTGTCCATTCTTCAAGATTTTATCAACAGTATTTGATGGCCAGATACTATAACTAGCATTTAAGTTGAGATCTCTATTGGAACAAAATCCTGGGAAGTAGTGGCACTGCATTTCAGCTTGCATTCCTATCGTTGCCATGAAACTTCAAGTAAAGTTCAAAAATTTATAGCTCACGGAATAGCTGAGCATCTTAATACCATTACTCCATTAGAGAGAATTCTGCAACCAAATTACAAATAGAATAAGTAAAGAGAAAACATCTAGCTACATAACACAATTCCACCATTCAACAGCAACATCTATTAGTAGAATATATAGGTTTGGCAGTGAAACATCTTATTACTACAAAAATTGATTACAGAACCAATGGATTGTGAATGTGCTACATCCATCAAGGAACATGCTTTAAGTCATACAGTTACTTCCACACCCTATCAGGAAGTTGTAATTGAAACAAATATTAACAATCTAACTTTCTCAATTACAGTACTCATAAAGTTAACAATGAATGTCCCTTTTATCCTTCAAAGAAAACCCTTTGACAGAGGAAGGATATTTAAAAATTCCATTTCTGCAGGCACATTGAGCAGATAACCAAAGTTAGTGATACAATATTCTTATCAATAATTAATTGATTAGGCCAATCTCAACATAACACTTCCAGTCAGCTGCATTTCGAAAATGAATGGATTGAAAGATTCAAATTAGCCCACCATTCCATTAAATTTTCAGAAATTGGAAACCTTAGGCCAAAAATATGAATAAATTTCTTAATTAACCTGATAAAATAACAATGTGCATATGAAAATAAATTTAAAGAATATTTAGATACCACAGAGACAAAGAGGAAGATTTATATGGATGAATTAAAAGAAGAAAAAAAAAAGACGAAAAATTCAGTATATTTGTTGCAGTTAAAATAATGGCATCAGGACACCATAACCTTCTCTACACTAAAGATGAACTGGGAAATCGTTCCATGCAAATCAGAAACAGAAGCCCATAAAATAATCTGTTAATCCCAAATATTCAGGAGATGTATCAAACTATCGTTTCGTGAACATAGAGCAGGAGCAAGAAATGCAATCCACATTCTTTGCAACAATCAACATTAGCTTTTAGACTTCTCTTAGAAAAGAAAAATAGACACAGTAATAGATTAAAAGGGCAATTTTATGTTCAAGCAAATCACGAGAGAGAGAGACAGAGAGAGAGAAGGAAAAAAAGAAAAGGTAAATCCCGGCCTATCAGAGCAATCAACATTGAATCACAGTCTCTTTAAAACACATCAACAAATGACCATTAGAATCAACATATACCCCAAATCACCAACACATCATAGAATTTTTCTTTTCTCGTTTACAACAAAGGGAACTTAAAAAATCTAATCATTAATGTGATCAGACATTAAACTGCCAAGAAAAAACCAAAAAAGCAGACAAAAAAAAAAGAATAGAAAAGAAAAATCATCGAACCCATTAAAAAAAAAAAAAGTAATCTTCAAGCATCAAATCCATTGAGAAAACTTAAAAAACTAAATAACTTACCTTAATTACATATCCAAGTGAAAATCAATTCTTCCTTGAAAACCCAGAAGGGATTCAGTCATTGAAACAGCTCAAAGCACTACAAGCCAACAGAAGAAAAGCAAAAATATCAAAGTAGGTATCTTTAAAAGAAGCAAATGGATCAGAATACGAAAGGCTTAGGCTTAGAGACCTCAAAAGAGCCAAACAAAAAAGTAGGCATTTTGGAAACACCAAGAAAAGTCGATGAAATGAGGATTTTGGATCTGCTGGGCCATTCTCTCAAGAAAGATTTAGAGAGAGAATTAGAAGTGGAAGAAACTTGTCAACATTTCTCTCTCTCATTTCTCATTTATTATTGTTGTTTTGCGTGAGAGAAAACAATGGGTATGTTTTTAGAGAGACTCTGCTCTAGATTCTCTCCATAATCTAATTTTCTTTTTCTTTTAAATTTTTCCTTTCTAAGAATTTATTATTTTATTTATTTTCAATTTTAATTTATATAAGTAATTACCACTTAATTTTACAGATAAAATTTCAAGATATAATCCATTTTTTTATTCAAATTGTATTTATTAATCCATAATTTTTTGCCTATAATATTTTATACTTTGGATTAATTTTTATTTTTTTTTATATATATTTGAAAATTTTATTTCAAAAGTAAAAGAAAGAAATTAATTGGAATATTCAGCAATTGAGAAACAGACAACAATTAACAATTTCCTTGCAACTTTAATCAATCAAACTGCCTTGATATCTCCAATTCATATTTTAGCCTAATTTCCATTATACTTTATTGTTTTTTTATTAGATTTAATAATTGCAATAGTCAGCAGTGGGGCCCATATAAAAGATTAGGGTGTCAAGCAGCAACATGTAGATTTTGTGAAATTTCATTCAATCCCCTAAATAACCTTGCCTTTTGCACATTTTTTAATACTACTTTTTTGGTTAAATTTAATTAATCTACTTTAATTTTTTAATTATAGTCGTAAAAATTAAAATCATTTACCATTCTAATAATATAAAAATATTTTTTCTATATCATTATATTAATTGATTTTCATTTATTTTATTCATTCGAATAAGAGATTTACCTTTTTTTAAAAAAAATCTCTGTAAGAATTAAAATTTTGCATAAAATAAAAATATTGTTATACAAATACTTCATTAGATTTTTTATAAAACATTTAAATTTAGTGGAAGATGTTACAGAGTAATAAACTGAGTAATGAAAAATCTAAAACAGAAGCCCTTTGAAAATAATTTTTCATATGGAAGAAGGATAGAATTGTTGGTGTGTCAATTTGGTCTTGTCAAGTGATGATAAACATAATTGCCTAGAATTTAGATTAAACTTCCTATTTATGGACCCACAGATTATGTTATGATCATCACCATCCTGTCTTGTTCATACCTACATGGTGATGATGATGGAATAAAAATTATATTTTTTTATTTACCTTTTTTTTTTTTAATTAATGTCTAAATCATTTGTCATTTAATCCACATTTACAAAACAAGTTAGCTTCAATGAGATTAAATTAATATTCGATTTTCTTTTCCCAAAAAGATATATTATTATTGGGTGGAAAATGGAAGAGCTTATACAAATAGAATCCACAGTATTTAAAGTGAAAATTTCTTTGGAAAATATTATTTATAATATTCAAATCAGTATCTTATTTTGTGATTACTGAACATTAATTTAAAATTTTTACGGTAAAATAAATTATTTTAGTGATTTTCAGACTGTTTAACTATCATTTAAAACGTTAAAAAAAAAAGTAAAATTTCATAATTCGCTTCTCAAACTTTAAACAATATAAGTAACAAAGGTAGTTAAAATACTAAAAACTATAAAAACTTTGCCGAACACCTAAAATTGAAAAAATAATAATTATGAATTACATTTATCCATAAGAAATTTTATAAAAAAACTGAAATAACAAAATCTTGATAGGATGTGAATTTGATTTTGGAAAAAAAAAATGAATTTTTAAAATATTTTTATTAATAAATAACTTAAATTATACTCTTCTTTTATTTACATTACACATTGATTGATAATAAGTTATCTTGGAGGATGAAGTGAAATTCAGTAGGGGAGACAAATGATTTTCATTTTTGAATGAAAAATGTAATAAAATAAAATAAAGATTTTAAAACAATGACAATATGCCTTTCGGAAAAAGAATATTCAAATGGGCAGGCAAAGGGCAAAAACGGAAATAATGGGCAAAAATATATTCTCTCAATTGAATAAAAATGAGAGGACAAAGTGTAATAAAGTTGCAATAATTTATCAACAAGCGGTGGATCCACAGCAACTGAATCTCTCTAACTAAATTTCATCTGGTTTGTTAGGAAATTCAGAATTTAAAATCTGTCATTTTTAGAAAAACTTGAAAATTAAACTTATAAAATGCAAAATGAGTGATAAATTGGACTTTGAATTCTCAAATAAATTATAATTGCGTCAATAATCAGTTGGGAAGTCATAAATCATATTATTAATCAAATAATTATTATTTAAATATTAATAAGCCTCATTAACTACAAACTCTCATGCGAGAAAGATTTACTTAGACCGGATTCATCACTCCGTTTATAGACCAAATCAATGAAATAAGAATCTTTCTAATTATACGCTTTTTAAAAAATCTTTAATTTCATTGATTAATTCATAAGTAAGACCATGAATTCGGTCTACACAATTTTTTTTTCCGGGGGAACAAAGCAAGCCCTTTTCAGTAAATTTTTGTATTAGTCATAAATTAGTAGGATAAGCAAGCAAGTAAAGATGGAAAATAGTAATATTATCTTTAAATATATATGAAATCAATTTTATTTAACTAAAAACAGAGACTTAATGTAGAATATGAAAATCAAAAATGGAAAAACAAATCTTTCTTCTTTTAACAAAAACTGATTCTTCTAAAATCATTGTATTTACTAAGTTTTTTAAGCCCATTTGGAATAATTATTTAATTTAGTAAGTATATCAGCTAAAAAATAGGTATTTTATTATTTTTTCTTCTTTTGTTAATATAAGGATCAACGGCTCTATGCCAAATCAGTCCAACCCTATCAGCATCCAAATTTATAATACTATTATTATTATTATTATTATTAATGCTGTAAAAGTAAAAAAAAAAAAAAAAAAGAATTGAAAAAGGTATTTGTAACACTGTCTGGTATTGAAACTGTGGAGTCCAGAACTTAGTTGTTAGAGTAGGAAGAGATAGATATAAAGTTTCAGAAATGGGAATATTAAGTCAGGCTCTGTTACTCAGTCGTTACGTTTTCGATTCATTATTGGTTATATTTCAATCACAATTTATTGATTGGTTCTTTGGCAGTGCAAAAGTAAAGCTATTCTCACCCACCCACCTAATAACTAAATAATAATAATAAAAAAAATACCATCCCGTGTTTATTAAATTAAATTAAACAATTTCACAAATTTATAGAACAATTATGTTCCATCATCACAGTAAAATGAAACGAGCTCCAGCAAAGAACCTGGTTTGAAGTATTTTTGTTTTCAATTAAAAAATTATTTTTAGTGTAGGAAAAATTACAGTAATGTTTGTAGTTTGCGAAATATAATTAGTTCATTTTTATTTTTTAAAAAAATAGATTAAAATATTTTTATAGTTTACTTTCGTTAGATTATAAAGTCTTTGCGTCTAATTTTTTGCTTTTTTTCCGTTAAGTATGTTATGAAATGATAAAATATCTCTTTTGTTTTTAAAAACACAAGGTCGAACTAGTTATATTTTTAAAACTAAAAGGATTGCACTGTAATTTTTCTGGTATAATATTTTAGTATTTCTCTTTTAATTTATGTGTTTTTTTATTTACTTAACAGAAAAGATGCAAAATTAGATAAAAGTACTTAATAGTATAGTGTGTCAAAAATAAAATATAGGGACAAATTAATATATTAAAAAAAAAAAAGACAAAAACAGACTAACTGTATTTCACACACGCTACTAAGTTTTTTTTTAGTTATTGTACGGATGATGTCAGAGACTAGATTTATACAAGTCTTATCTCACAAATCCATGTCGTAGGCCCAAAGTCAGTTCCAACTTTAAGGTTCGGAGCATTGATGAGCCCAAATGATAGTTGCAAGGTCGCTGGTTGGGGCCGAGTAGATCATTCATTTCCTTGGAAGTCTAAACAGCTTTTAAGTGTTCTTTTCTTTCTTCTCTTATTATGTACTAGCTTCTTTCATTATGAGGATAAAGATTCAACTTCCAGTTAGTTTAGGTAGCTGTCCTGATTGAAATTCCAAGCTTTTCCAATATTCTGATCATACATTTGTTACTCTCAAACCAACAAAGAGTCGAGCATTATTAACCTTCTTTAAATTCTCAATCAAGTCAATTATTTTGTGTTAAATTCGAATTATTATGTATCTGTGGTTTACCTAACATTTTCTTGGTTTGATTCTTTACAGTTGACGTACTTCAAAAGGGGTGGTTGAGCGGTTTTTTTGTCTTCACTTTGGCTGATGGGTTCACGAACTTGCATTTAGTCGTATTGAGCAGCGCCTCCTCTTGCCGTGACCACTCTCGGAAAATTCAAAACCAGACAGTACTATGTTGTCCATTTCAAATATGTGAATACGGCCTGGACTTTTTTTTTTTTTTTTTTTTTTTTTTTTTTGTCCTTCAATTTGGCTGATGGTTCACGAAACTTGCATTTAGGTCGTATTGAGCAGCGCCTCCTCTTGCCGTGACCGATCTCGGAAAATCAAAAACCAGACAGTACTATGTTGTCCATTCAAATATGTGAATACGGCTGGAACTTTTTTTTTTTTTTTTTTTTTTTTTTTTTTTGTTGATAAGAAGAAAACGACAATAATATAATAAATTACCTAAAATCCAATCCAAAAGTAGAGATATATATGGACTGGATAGTAGTGATTGTCCATCAATTTATCTCTGCCGGCTGAGTTCGGATTCATGAGCAACACATGTGATCTTAGTTACAAGTTCATGTCGTTTCAGAAGAAAGTCCAAACAGCTTTCCTGATGAAAAGCAGTTTTTGGTGAAGAAATCCACTCGTAAAGCATTAGTTATAGTTGATTCAACCCGATTATTTGTTTCTTAATCCATTGTGGAACTGAAAGTGAGCCGGCTAACCTGGATTCACACTGAATAAGCCCACAAAGGGATAAAGCACTCTTCATTTTGTGAATGGTCAAATATATTTTTTAAGACAATTTTATTGTCTTGTAATAGACATTATCACTTCTGTTTGCAATTGGATTTTGTTCACAAATAGAATATTTTTATTGCCTTTCCTTGAGGTCTTGGACTGATCCGTTATGGCACTGATTCTGAGCTTAATTTCACCAAATGATGGATCAACTTTTACCAGTAAATTTCTGTTTCATCACTTCTTTACCATTAGAGATAGCCTCCATTGTAGATCAACCGAGCATAAAGCCGAACTGATTCTCCGACGTCTTTAACTTGATTAATTGCATACATTAGATTAATATTTATTTAATATATAAAAATATTTTAAAGAGAAATAAACGAATTTTTATATTTTATAAGTGCACAATCTCAATAATGAAAATGGAATAATAAAAAACCGAAATTATTTGGTTGTAAGAACACTCAAGTTCATTCATAGATCTTGATGATATGAAATCACCAAATGTGAAAGGGCAAGATATATATATAATATTTAGGGTTTGGAGTACCAAATGATAGATCTGAAGTTTGAGAATTTGGAATATTAAGTCAGGCTCTGTCAGTCACTTCTTACGTTGTCGTTTCCTTATTGGTTGCATTTCAATCACAGTGTATGAGATTGCTTCTTTAGCAGTGAATAAGTAAGCAGAGCTTCCATCACCCACCAAATCAATCACCTTCTCTCTCCACTTTGTGTTGGCTTTTTCATGATGGTAACGTCAATTTAGTATATATTTTTTCAGAGAAGAAAAGGTTAATTATTTTAAAATAATTTTGAAAATGAGGGATTAGTATTCATAAAAAAAAAAAAAAAAATCTACCTAGCAGATTAGCAATATGTGAAAGATTGATGTTAGTTGTAAGGTAAGGTACGAGACTTACCTTCAATTCTACGTTCAAAGTATGATATTTTGATATAAAATTTATATAATTTGGACCTCTTAAATTATCTTCAACTAATTTTGAGATATAATTCTTCTAAGGTCATCTAACTATTGGCTAAAACTCTAAACGAAACGCGTTGAGCTTTAACGAGTTCGAACTCGGCTTGATAATTAAGGATATGATTAATGTTTTTATTTCTCAAATTTATAGGTTAGCCAATCAAAGCCACCTTAACTTAACTAGGATATCTGTTTCCACCAATGGCAGGATGGATTTAAATTCTCCATCATCTACATAGATAGATGTTCTTTTGATGGATGCTAATAATAATAATAATTAAAATTTTAGATTTTTTTTCTGAAGAAAGATACGTTTAAGATCACATTTCCAAGTTTAAGCTTGACTCGTTTAAGAATATACAAACTCAAATTGGATTTGAACTAAACTTGAAAGTGAACCAAGTTCAAAATAAAAATCAAAACTTACCAAACCAATAAAGAAGCATTAATCAAATTATAATAATGTCATTGTAATATAGATTTTAATTAATATTGACTTATTGAGTTAGCTTGCGAGTCGGCTTGTAAACTGGTCCAAGAGCTAATAATAACTCGGTTAATAAATTCGTCGAACCGAGCTTTTATCACATTGAATGTCAAAATCAACCATTATATTGCTTCTGGTAATTGCAATCCATGGAGTGAGTGGCCTCGACGAGGATGTGTATATATATATTTTAATTTGTGGCTAGCTATTGCCTAAGTTTAACACAGGATTTTATTAATCACACAAAAGCAAAAATTGTGACAAGCCAAAGGCCATTAACAATGAACCGTGAGTACTTGGTGATAACATATGATGTCTCCAAGTTGGATGGTTAATACCATAAAATATTTATGGTTGATGCTTTAAAAGTTGTTTGAAGAGCATTCTAAGTTCTAATCATAGTGTAGATAAGGTAATTAGCAATATCCAAATAGATAAACATTTTTTTTATCAAGTTGCATTATATGCTCTAATGATTACAATGTTAGAATATTCTCTCTCAAAAAGTTATTTATTATAGAAGGAACAAGAAAAATTCCTTTTTTTCATTTAAAGATAAATTAGATAATCAAATATTTAATGCACTCAGTGTTAGTATATTTACAATATGGTTGATGAAAATTATTGATTAATTAGTTTTATTTTTTGAATATATACTAAAAGGAGTTCATACATAATTAGTCTTAAATAGAATAAAACCCATTAAAATGCGAAAACACCTAAGAAGAAAGGAGGTTACAAAACTTGATATAATTTGTCTAAGTAATTCAATTACCAACAGGGTATTTCCTAGCATTTTTAACAATCTTTGTCAAAGCTGCCTGACCAAGATCAAGCCCACAAACATCAGCAAGACGAATAAGATAGAGCAGAACATCAGAAAGCTCTTCTTCAAGATGTTCCTTATCATCTGAACTCCAATTGGGCAGCCCTTTCGCAACCTCTCCTTTCCATTGGAATATTTCTGAGAGCTCTCCAACCTCTCCAACCTGCTCACACACATACATATTTGCAGGTTAAACAAATTATATAAAACTCAAAGAGAAAGAAAGAGAGAAGGATAGTATATGGTTTTAAGGGGCTTACTAGGGCTAAAAGGAGGTTTCTAGGACTATGATATTGCTCCCAACCTCTTATTTCAGCAAACTCTTGAAGCCTATCTCTAAGTTCATGAAGAGAAACATCTTTGGTGTTTCTTCCACACTCAAATGAACTCTCCATATTTTCTTTCTCTGTCTCTCTCTCTCTCTTCTTCTTATGGGAAGTTATGTTTTGATTCAGGTCATGCATGTATTTAAAGAGAATAGGGGGACCAAAGCAGGTTGGGGTGGATTTTTTTTTTTCTTTTTTATCTATGGGCTTCATCTTTTGGAACTAAAATTGAGCAATATAGATGCTAGTGGAGAAGCACTTGAGTAGTTCCTAGCCAACAGATATCATGTGAGATGTCTCCAGTGACTTGATATCACTTACCACCACCCCCGCCTGACTTAATTCTCTCTTTATATGCCCTAAGATTAACTCACCAAAAGATTAAAGAAGTAAAAAAGAAAACTGAAGATCTTTGATTGAACCATAAGAATGTGGCTTTGCTATTGATTTGGTATAAATTTTAAGATTATGTTTGGCAAAGTTAGCTGTTCTAATATCTGTCAGTTGTTTTACTAATATTTTATCAAGCACTAAAAAAAGTAACATTTCATAATTTGCCCATTAAATCTTAAACACTAATACAAAAGCTATACCGTCAAACACTACAAATAATAGAAATAGTGTTTTAACCTACTAAAACTGAAGATCTTTGATTGAATCATAAGAACGTGGCTTTGCTATTGATTTGGTATAAATTTTAAGGCTATATTTGGCAAAGTTAGCTGTTCTAATATCTATCAGTTATTTTTCTAATATTTTATCAAACACTAAAAAAAAGTAACATTTCATAATCTGCCCATTAAATCTTAAACACCAATACAAAAGCTACACCGTCAAACACTACAAATAATAGAGATAGTGTTTTAACCTACTAAAAGGTAGGATAAATAAATTTATTTATGAAACATGATTTAAAAGTAGCATATCTTTTATATTTTGATCTAAGGCGGACTAGTTGCTTAGGCAATTATGGACATATCCAAAGTAAATAAAATATGGTGAATGTCGTGCTAGAAGGGGCTATAGAAATTTGGTGCAAATATGGACAAAGAAGCATAATGGGAGAGGCACCAAACCCTGAAATTGCGATTCCAATGTGGACAATTTTCGACATTCTGATTCCAACAGGGCAATGGAGGGGGTGAGTGCTGCTGGTACATAATAAATATGATTTTGTTAGTCATATAAGGAAACCTAGTGTGCCTATGTAATCTTGAAAATTGATAACTCGATCTCTTTTTTTGTCCTCTATCAATCCATTTGCTTCCTTCTTGGGAGGAACTCCCATGCTTGCTTATGGGCATAAGCTTGTCTCTGTTGTCCTGTCTATTTTTGCTATTAATATGTATAATATATTGTTTAGTTTCTTGCAATAGTAATCCTGTTTATACTGGTAATGTCGTTTGATGGAATAGCCTGGAAATAAGCCTTGTCAAAGTGATATGTTAGGTACCAGTGACATGCAATGCTCATTTGATGGATTGAGAGAGAAAGGACACTGAACATAAGATCATGGAAAAAGATTGAGAAAAGAGAAAAGAGAGGAAAAACTGGAAGTTAAAAGAGAGAAGAAAATACTTGATTATTGATTTTTCAAAACAGAAATTTACATGAGACACATCAACTTACTTATAAAAAATTACTTTGCTCAACTGATTATACAGTTGATAGTTATTTCATAGCTAACAACAGTACTGTAAGTGTTTAGTAAGTCTGAAGCTAATAGTTAATACAAATCTTAATCAGCAGCTACTACCATTTGAAGTTTTTTTCATATATATATATATATATGTAGTAGGGTCCCACCCCTACCACTCCCACCTTTCTTGCTCAACTGATTATACAGTTGATAGTTATTTCATAGCTAACAACAGTACTGTAAGTGTTTAGTAAGTCTGAAGCTAATAGTTAATACAAATCTTAATCAGCAGCTACTACCATTTGAAGTTTTTTTCATATATATATATATATATGTAGTAGGGTCCCACCCCTACCACTCCCACCTTTCTTGTTGCCTTGTAGAAAAGAAGAATTGTCTTAGTTTTCTTTATAATGATGTTGAATATATATGAATATGATGGCAACTGTAATTGGAAACTATTCATTAATCAAACAATACGAGGATAAAACATGTAACCAAACATGAGGTTATGAGACCAAGCATCCATAATGGTAAATGTGGGTCAGGCCTCAGGGGACCAAATTCTTTTGTCGAGAGTTTCCTACATCATGATGGAGCTCAGCATTCTATTAGATAAGGTTCATCATTGGTTTGAATTGAATGAGAATAAATGGTTCGATTCTCATTTTGAAAAATCGAACGGAATTTACTTCTTTTGATTTCAATTCTAATTAATTTGATTTTGGATTGATTCATCATGTCAGTTTTAGTTTGATTCAACTCATCTTTTTATTTTTATTTTTGATGAAAATTGTTTTTTTTTTTTTTTAATTATTTGGTGTAAGTTTAAAAGGCCAATTATACAAAATATTGATTTGGGATAAAATGAGCATAACAAGATTATTAATTAGACATGAACCCTGCTTGGTGTAGATCAATTATTATTGTATCATTCAATATATTAATTAAATTTTATTCAATTATTTAATTATAATAATTAAGCATTAGAACATTTTGAATAAATGGTAAAATAATTTTTTCAACTTTTAAGTATTGGACAAGCTTGAGAGAGGACCTAGTACTTCTGCAGACATCAAAGCTTGAATCAAATTGATTTTATATAAATATTTCAGAACCATGTTTTTGGTTCCACAATCCAAAAAATCAGGTTTTTGGATTATGCTTTGTGCATAATCAATATCCTTCTTTTAGGATGCAGTAATAGACTGGACTCATTGAATTCAAAGCAGCATGCATTTGCCATTGTCAAAAGTACTCACAATTACCAGTAGGTGAACAAAAAGGTTCATAAAATCCCTGAAAATGATAGTTTGAAACCTTAATCAAATGCGATACTTAACCTTCACTTCCCATGGAGTTGAAGGATAAGCCTTTTGCCTTGGCCAGCTGCTTTACTCTCTCACTACCTCCTTTACTGACATTTTACAACTTTTGTAGCTCAGCCTGGTGCTTTTTACCATTGAAGTGCATTTTAAGTGAAGGTTCATCGATGCATTAAATACCGCACAATTCGCACCACCATTCTTTTTATTGTCTCTTTGCCTCTTTTCTTAGCAAGTTCTGCCTTGACTACTAGCAGTACATTCTTGTGCTTTTGACCTTCCAAGTGTGCTTTGAGTGCATCTTCATTCATGCACCAAATTTTACACAATTCACACACCAATCGCTGATTTCCGACTTCAAACTGCTTGTCATGGTCTTGCTTGCCAAGTTTCTGCTCCCGCAGGTTTGACTTGTGTTTTTACCTTTTATGTGCTGCTTGTAGCTAATGGACCCCGAACATGGCACTTGACATTCTTGCAAAAGAATTGATCCACCCGATTCTCAAGTTCACGTGACAGTGAAGCTGGTACCGACTCAAGGCTGTTTGTTGTTGGCACTCGCCTTTTTATTCCTGAAAGCCTAGCACTTGAACCTGAGTTTGTGCTTGGGCTAGGACTCAGAGTTGTACTGGCACCTGCATTTAGAAATTGCACCTGGTACATGTGACAATTTGGTTTATAAGATATTTATCTAAAATCTATACTCCTGTTAACAGCTCATCAATCAGCTAGAAATATTAAAAAAGGAAAAAAGAAAAAGAAAAGACACAAAACAACTAGAAAAATACATTTCAACGGACTAAAGCCTCCATGCAACAATCATATAAGAAAAATAAAGTATCTTCAAATATATTATGAGCTGCCTAAAGAAATCTAAATTACTTAACTAACGAAGATGACAAGTTCTTTCAGTAAATACTGCAATTACCAAGCTCAGCCATAAAGTTCAAGAGGATACACTCAATATAATGAAAGATATATCCAGGCATTGGCTCCAGATCCTTCTGGTTAAATACATTCATAAAGCAGATGGATGATGCTAGATCTCACAGAATCCAAGTAAGAGTTACAAGTTTGTTCAGCATAATATGCCTCCAAAATCTCTTGTTCAATGCTTTTGCACATGAATGGCAACAAACCATCGGCTCATTACAAAGAAGAGGTGAAATCTTTACAAGTTTATAATCCAACATATCCATAGCCTTACCACAGAAAGCTAAAACAGCAAAGAACCATTAGTTTCCAATCAAATTGTTCACCCAATATTAGGTTCAATAACAGATACTAATCATTGAGTGATCGAACAATTTCACAAGTGCCATGGTCTTACTAGACTCTAAAGAAATTTGACAAAACATAATATTCATCTTTCGTTGATGAGTACATATGACAGTGCACCAAAAATATAAGTTAGAGATTCAACATTCATGAATGTGCACACAGGTTATTAATGGCCTAAATCATCAACTGAATCTGAAAGCGAATTAGCAAAGAAAATTTGAATAGTAACAAAAGCTGACATAGTTATTATATGAGAATTCTAACCTCCATTGATCCAAGCTGTGAAACAAAGTCGGAATCTGATGGATGTAGCAACATGGCCACTTTCCTTCTATATGCCAACTCCCTTTGAAGAGCAAGCTCCAATGACATAATATTCACTCCCCTCAAATCATCCATTTCTCAATTAATTGTATGCTCTTAAGAATCTTAAGTTAAACTTGAAAATTACTGGTGTCCAAGAAAATCTAAACAACAAAGATAGCGCAAGTTGTAAAATTTAGAACATAAACGGAGAAGCACAAGAAACCAATAAGTAGTTGTAGAATTCAAGATAATTGCTCCAGTAAACTAACTTTGTTATGGTGAACAATAACAACTTCGGAAGACAAGTAATTTAAACAACCAAGAAAATAGTACTCGAAGATGAACAGGGTAAAGCAAGTACGCAGGCAGTGAAAACCTAAGTAAAAATCAATATCAAGAATATTGTCATACCAAACAAAAGATAAACAAAGTGATATAAGAAAAGAGCTAAATCGACACAAACTCACATTAAAATCAAAAAGAAAGAATGAAAATGTGCAGATTGGAGGCAGATTGTGCTTAGCCACATCAAGGGAGAAACTATTGGAGCAATCATTTTTGAAACCTACATGAAAAGCAGCCTAGTGATCATCAAGAATTCACGTATAACTAAACTAGGGATTTTAAATGAAACCCGTTTTAAGGAGCAAAGGAATTCCTGCTCGCAAATGACAGAGAGACGTTAACGCTTTGTTTCTTTGGATTAATTAAACTTCTTGTGTTTTGATTTAAGGTAAATGAAGGATCAGAGAGTGGGCTAAAACACCAATTTCACCTTGCAGATTCACTCAATTTTCACTTTTAGTCTGTGGTTACCCAAATTATGATCTTTTATTACAAATTAAATCAAATGAAAAAAAAAAACCAATTTATTCCCTAAACTTGTTATTCAGGCAAAAAAAAAAAAAAGCAATATAGTCCACCTTTTTACTCAATTTCCTATAAATTTATAATTCACTTACAATTTACCTAAAAGCCAAAATTCACATAAAAATTTAGATAAATGCAAGTTTGAAGGTAAATTAAACCAAAAATTTGATTTTGTAACTCTTTTTTTTCTCTAAATAATGAGTTCATAAGGCAAATTAGACTTTATTTCTATAATCAAAAAACATTTAAATGGATCCAATGTATTAGAAGTGGTTAAGTTAACCACATACCTAACCATTTATTAATGAGGTGCTAAAAAGATAAGCCATGTCTAAAGACCCATTAGACAGATTCATTGAATTCAAAGCCACAAAGCAGGCATTTGACATTCTTCTCTTACAATTATAAGTCAGAGTTCAGCAGTTACCAAAGTAATCACATTTACTGGTAAATGAACAAAAGAAGGTTCATAAAATTCCTAAAATGATAACTTGAAAACTTCGCTTCACTCCCCATGGAGTTGAAGGATATGCCTTTTGCCTTGGCGGTGCCTATTGAGTGAGTCCTTGTCTAAGCACCAAACATTACATTGTTCACACCAATATGGCTGCTTTACTATCTCACTACCTCCTTTCCTAACATATCCCAACTTTTGCAGCTCAGCCTTGTGCTTTTTACCATTGAAGTGCATCTTAAGCGTAGGTTCATCAATGCACTTAACACCGCGTAATTCACGCCACCATTCTTTTGTTGCTATCTCTTTGCCACTTTTCTTAGCAAGTTCTACATTCTTGTGCTTTTGACCTTCCAAGTGTGCTTTCAGTGCGTCTTCATTCATGCACCAAATTTTACTCAGCGCACACCACAGTCGCTGATTTCCCACTTTACACTGCTTGTCATGGTCTTGCTAGGCTTGGCCAAATCACGGTTCCTGGAACCGGAACCGCCGGTTCGAACCGGTCCGGAACCGGAACCGGAACCGGGACGAACCGGAACCCCAAATCACGGTTCCTGGAACCGGAAACCGCCGGTTCGACACCGGTCCGGAACCGGGAAAACCGGAACCGGGACGAACCGGGAACCGGGGAACCGGAACCGGCAACCGAAATATTCCGGTTCCGGTTCCGTTCCAGCGAAATAAGGAACCGAACCGGCCGGTCCAGAGAACGTCGGAACCGGTCTTGAAACCGCGGGTTCCGGATCCGGTTAGAAACCCGCCGTGCGAACCCGGCCGGTTTTCTAGCCGTTGTAACAGTGCAGATTTTAAATTTTTTTTTTTTTTTTTTTTTCTGACAATTTTTTGTTGTAATCTCAGACTCAGGATATGGTTGTGAAAACTTTTGGATAAATCCCCACCTTTGGATAACAAGTCAGCATTGACTGAGTTAGGTGTTTTGTTTGCAAAACTGCAGCACTTACGATGCTTAGGATGTGTGTGATACTTGCATATCTCTACATCTACTAAATATTTCTATATGTATATATATGTATATATATACTCATTTCTTACATATAAGTAAAGAGGAGGACCTCAAGATTATCAAATAGATAAATGTGAACATAAAATTAGGAAACAGCAATAGTTTTAATAGCTTATAAATCAATACTTACTTCAATAAAGCTTCACGCCAAGAAGGTTCCAAGTAAAAGGCCAAGCCAACCCAAGAAGGTTGAATTTTTTTTTAAAAAAATAATTATGTTCAACAGTTCAAGATTTCAAAAAAATAAATGTAATTGAAGTATTTTTTAATTTTTTATGTTCCAATAATTTTTTTTTAACCGGTCTTCAAAATTTAAAATTTTTTAACTCTATCTTTTAATTTTTTATGTTCAAATATTTTTTTTTAAACCGGTCTTCAAAATTTAAAATTTTTTATGTGTATTTTTTTAATTTTTTATGTTAAAAAAAAATTTTTTTTTTAAACCGGTCTTCAAATTTTAAAGTTTAAAATTATGCGATTCGCCGGAAAACCGATCGGAACCGTCGGTTTTATAATCGGATCGGAACCGAAACCAGAACCGGAACCGGACGGTTCCAAACCGGAACCGGAACCGGACCTTTTCGGTTCGGTTCCGGTTCCAGAAACCGGAACCGGAACCGGACCTTTTCGGTTCGGTTCCGGTTCCAGAAAATTTGGAACCGGAACCGCAGGTTCCGGAACCGTGGCCAAGCCTAGGTCTTGCTCGCCAAATTTCAGTTCCCGCAGGTTTGACTTGTGTTTTTTACCTTTATGTGCTGCTTGTAATTAATGTAACCTGAACAGGGCACTTCCAAACCTTGCAGAAAAGATTATCCATCCGGTTCTCAAGATCGTGTGGCAGTGAAGCTGGTAACAATTCAAGGCTGTTTGTTGTTGGCACTTGCCTTTTTAATCCTGAAAGCTTAGAACTTGAACCTGACTCTGAGCTAGGACCTGGAGTTTATTAGGATACCGGCGATAAAAATACAAGAATAAATACGGCAGCGGAAAAATAGAAATTGGACACACAGAAATTTACGTGGTTCACCCTCAACTATTTAGGGCTACGTCCACGAACCAACTTCGAATATTTCTTCCACTATTAAAAAAAATAGTAGGTTTACAAAGAGAGTAATACAAAATAGTGGTACTCACACATATTTCCCAAAAACACCCTAATAATCTTCACTATTTTCTAAACCCGTAGTTTTAAGAACCCGTTCTAAAACTCAAAACTCTCTCTCTTTTATTTTTCTTTCCTTGTTGGTTGCATTGAACTGCGAAGCATCCTCTTCTATTTATAGGAGAGGGAATGAGAGAATAAGAGAGTCGTTTCGTAGTTGGTTGCCAACAATTCAAAGTTTGGCAACCAACCTTTGAATTTCACTCTTTCTTCTTCCGTGGTATTATTGACTGAAAAAAAAAACGTGTTTTATTATTATTATTTTTTTTTCTTTTCACATGTATGTGGGTCCCACTTGAGTGGGCACGCCACCACTAACAAATCTCCCCCTGCACGCTCAAGTGGGGACGTCAGCCATATTCTCCATCATCCCTGCAACTGATCGACAATATTCAAACTTGTCTTTTGGAAGAATCTTCGTTAACATATCTGACCCATTTTCATCTGTATGGATCTTCTCAAGCTGTAACTGCTTCATCTCCAGTACATCCCTGATGCAATGATATCTAACATCAATATGCTTTGACTCTTGAATGAAAGGGGAATTCCTTCCAAGATGAATGTCGCCACTCTGGCGTATCGCAGAATTATCATATATCGTTCTTTGATTGCAATCTCCGAGTTCATTCAAGAACTTCTTATCCACAGCAACTCTTTGCATGCTTTTTGTTGTGACTATGAATTCTGCTTCAGTTGTCTGATAGGAGCAACGCACTTTCTGTAATCTTGACTGCACGACAGCAGCTCCCCCTGACAAATGTGATTAGATACCCTGATGTGACTTTCTCGAGTAACATCCAGCATATTGCATCGGTATAAACCTACTAATTACTGGCTTCTCATCTCCAAAGCATAAACATCTTAGTCGTACCTCGAAGAGATACTGGAAAATCCTTTACTGCAGTGGGCCCAATGTTCCTTTCCCGGATGAAAGAAACCAGACTCACTACTCCGACTAGTGAGCAATCATTACTTGGGGGGGGGGGCCGGTACAGACCAATGGTACATCCAAGTCCAACAGCTGAGCATATGGGATTCTTTTCTCTTCCTTCTCTCCATCAAGTAGAACGGGCACTGTTTTGAGCTTAATTTAAGTGATTAGCAAGAGGGCCAACTAACCGCTTTAGAATTCTCCATTTTTAAACCTTTGAAGAGTACTTTCTCAATGTATTCTCCTGTGAAACCGTAATTCTTGGTTCTTCGATTTCTTCGTAATCTTCCATACCAAGGAATCTCTTGTGGTCCCAAGTCTTTCATAGCAAAGGACTTACTTAGCGTTTTCAAACTATTAATTCTCTGGACAGGAATTTTGCCAACAATAACATCTCATCTACATAAAGCAAAGGAGAATAATGTAGCCATCATAGAGAATTTTCTTTACGGAAGGACACAGTGATCTGTGAAGTAGTTTTTTTAACCTTGCTCCCCATAACAGATGCAAACTTCTTGTACACTGCTCTTGGTGCCTGCTTCAAGCCGTACCAGGCTCTCTTTTCAGTTTTACAAACACAATTCTTCTTTCCCCTTTTTCTGAAACCCTCTGGCTGCTCCTGTATATTCTTCTTCCAAGTCTCCATGTAGGAAGGCAGTCATTTACAATTCCATTGTCGATTTCCAGCATCAAAACTGGCGGCCATGAGCACTGTCCGACAGGATGTCCATTTTCCAACTGGGAAAAGATCTCATCAAAAAATCTTACCTTATCTTTGATTGAAATCCTTTCACAACCAGTCTACGGCTTTTCGATCGTTTGGGGAGCTGTGTTCTTCCTGCTTGATCCTGAACACCACTTGTTCTTCAAAGCCTTTCTTGCCTTTGGGAACTTTACCAGCTCAAATGTTTTTTATTCATGCAAGGATTTCATTCTTCCTTGCATTGGCTTTCAATCCAGTTTCTTTTGTGTTCAGCTTTCCATTGCTTCTTCAAAGCATCATAGTTCTCCCCCCGTCGTCATCAATACATATTCATTTGATGAATATCTAGTGATGGTTGTCTGATTCTACATAGACTTCTAATGTTTGAGAACTTCTTGGTGCTGGTGGTTTGAACATGAACAGCAACATCAAACATCTTACTTCTGGTTATTCTTGATTGAGGAACTTCTGGATTTTCTAACTCCTGGGCTCTTGTTCTGTGGAACATTTTATCATGCTCCAAGCTTGTCTTGTCTGTTGCTGGAGGAACTATTTGTACATGCTGTTGGAATCAGTCTTCAGATCTTTCGCAGCTTGCTTCTGAGTCTTTTCAAATCCTTCAATCAGTTCTGATTTACAACAATTACAGCATCGTCTACTTCTTATCATCTTT